AACAGTACTGAAAAAAGCGACTTATAACCGTTTTTCATACTTAATAACCATTGCAGCATCCCCCATGGTCACGTGATCAAAATTCAAATGCTTGGCTAGTGATTCATGTTTATGATAGTTACAGTATCTCAGGATCATGTGATTGCCTTTTGTGACTTTCTGACAAGGAAAGTCAATGAAAAAGCCAGATTCACTTAACAACCGTGCTACTAACATGTAATCATGTTACAACCACAGTGATTCACTTAACAAGTGTCGCAAGAAAGGTTGTAAAATGGGACAAAATTCACTTAACAACTATCTCACTTAGCAACATAGATGTTGGGCTCAATTATGGTCATAAGTCAAGGACTACCTATACTGATTTTTAAGAGAGGAAAATTCCACCTGTTGATACAAAATTCAGGCAGCCACTCTTTGTGAAATGCTGCAGGCTTCCAAACGCATTTCTGTTTGGTTTCTAAGCTACCAATTGCTGTATTAGTCATTTCTGCCTCCAGCCTACTACACTGATATTTTTATATCTAGTGTGTATTCATCCCGCCCCCCCCCCCAATTTCTATTGTTTTCCTTTAGCACTATTTTAATGCCGGGGAAAGTATACAATAATTTGGCTACTGCAAACATCACATCCTGTAACAGATGCTGTATTTTAGCTGCTTCTCTCTTTCTCATTTATCGTGTATGGGCCACCTCTCTGGTTCTGTTCATTCTCTCTTTCTGTGGTAAATTGTAGCTGAGGAACGAAACATGATGCTTCAAGGTTTACTGTCCCACTTCACTCAGAAATTTACCCGATGCAGGACGACAGTGGCATAAGAAGCTATTTGCTTCACTTTTGATTCAAAACAGCACATAAGGCAGACTTTGGGAAGTCAAGGCAGCTGAGCAGAGCACCCATCTAGGTTGAGTTCTATGGGAGAGAGTTTTTAAAAAAAGGCGGGTAGGTTTCAGAGAAGTGGCAATGCACAGGCTAGCAGCAGCAAGGAAAAATTATGTGGGGGCTTACCCAGAATGGGCTCAAACTGGATTAACTGTAACAACCTAAATCCTGACCCTGAATAAGAACATTTCATAGATTCCTCTTGGCTAAATATGGTCTTACTGATTAAGGATCTCCATAGATTGAGAGAAGGATGTTGCCGAAACAAAAGCAATTACAGTACTGGATGAGAACTTTCTATAGATTGTTTTAACCTCCAGGTTTCCCTGAAGATGACGTCTTAGATTTTGAAGGTAATAGTAATAATAAAGTTGGAAGGTCATCAATCCAACCCCCTGCTCAGGCAGGAAACCCTACTACACCATTTCGGACAAATGGCTGTCCAGTCTCTTCTTAAAAACTTCCAGTGTTGGAGCATGGTACTACCCTGCAAATCTTACATTAGTGTTTCCCCTTATGAAACATCCTCCCAGGAGTCCGCAAAGTCAAAATTATTCACCAGATATTGAAGATTTGTGCAAAAATGTAAAACAATGTCACTCTTCTCATCGTTATTATTTGTTAAAAATATAGCTTTTTCATGAAAAATATTTTACTTATGTTAATATCTAATGGGTCTAATATTGTTATTTTTACATCTGCCAATATCTTATAAATGAATCTATTTTAATTTTTAATACGATAAATCTCAACTCCATACAAACAGAAGCTCTTTTGGGGTTCTCCATAATTTTTAAAAGTGGGAAGGGGTCCTAAGAGCAACAGGTTTATGAAACACTGCTTTAGAGATTGAAAATTCATTCATGGATTTCTTAACTAAAGTTGTAACATAAAGATCTCTGTGGCTTGATTTTCAGTTACAATAAAGCCAGATAGGCAAACAATCATCAGATAATCCTAGCTTCCAAGCTTTTAACATTCATGAATCTTTTCCATAAATGGAGATATATCCTGGATAAAGAGTCGGGTGACTCTCTGTCCCACACACACACACACACAGAGATACACAAAATTGAGAATTATTTGCCATACTGTCTGTTTTATCTTCTGAAGTTCTTGCTTAAAAAGAGAGCCTTCCTGCTTTGTTGCTGCATACGTATCAAATAGCAAATATTATTGACTGAGAAGATTAATTTTTTAAAATGCAAATGTATAATTTTATGGAAGGTTCTTTGTGTTCAAGAATAAATTTCCCATCATATTTAAAGAAAGGTGGATACGTTTCACTCTTTAAATGAGAAAAAAAAACATTTTATTCTATTATCAGACCCATACCTTGCTATCATTTTGAAAGGTCCTGAGGTAATTTTGTTTCAGTTGGACTTTGACCTTAATAAGACTGTGAGCAGCCATTCAGCTTTTCATGAATTGTTACATTATGTTCAAGTTTCTTTTGAATTTTGTGGTGCATTGCTCAGGGCCTACATTATGGTTTGCTAGGCCAATTATGATTTATTTACCACAATAAATAAAATAATGGCTTAATGAACCATGAATCCAGCTAACTGAGTAATTGCTAAACAGAATTTATATCTGTCTCCAATGTTAGGACTCCAATATTTAAGGAGGGAAAAGCAAACATTGATAAATCTTACTAATGCTAGAATAGCATTTTGTCTCAAATTAATATGTAGATGTTATAGGGAACCCGAGGAGCTAGAAACTATGTTAATTTGTATTTTAATCTTTGATTTTGAAATGTAATAAAATATTAGAAGGTGGAAAAAAAGAAAAATAGAAACATGTTGGTAAGCATTCAGAAATAAGTTTCCTATAAAGAACTTATCTAAGCCTATTTCAATAATCATAGGGATGTTTTAGTCAAGGTAATTTAAAGAAACTGAAATTAACAAATGCTGCATGATGATGGCATGATGTGTTATATAAAGAGGCTAATTACTGCTCTTCATTCATTTAAAAAAAAACAGGTCAAAGACAATAGGAGATCTGTTTTCATTTTTTTTATAGCATCACATGGCTTGATTTGTCCTTACTGTCTTCTCCTTTTCAGCTCTTTTATCTGATCTACATGATTTTAGACTTTCAAATCTTCACAATGAATTTACAGAAATGGTTCACTTGTTTTAACTTTTTAATTTTGCATTGCTGCTTTCACCCTACTTATTAATATTTCAGACAACAAATACCCATCTCATAGTTGGTTTGCATTAATATGGTAAGCTCTTAGCTTTAAGTATCGCAAATCCAGGTTGAGTTTGAATTGCCCCACAAATTATTTCTGTTGCTATGTCTGAAAAATGACATTTAAGGTCAATGACATTGCCAAAATACACAGTCCAGAAACAGGCCTATTGTCAAAGTCTGAAGCTCTGCTATTCTGCTACTCAATTTCTATTCTATCTTACTTGAGCATGCAGAAATCAAGCAGATTTTAAACATTCTTTCTCCCAAGGTCTCTTCCTTTCAATTACTTCTGTGAAAGGAGGAGAAAGGCACTCTGTATTTTCTTTACCCATGCCTAGAATTCCATGGAAACTGTGCACTTATGTAGTCCTGTTCTCCCCAGACGGAACTCGTAGCTCTGAATTCAATCTAAACAGTCAGATAACAGTCAGTTAGAGTTACTTAGATCTATGCTAAGTCCAGAACAAGTCCTGTATGTTTAAAAATTGTAATGAGAAATTCCCTTTCAAATGGCATGCAGACATAAACAGAAAATGGAACAATCATACATGCAAAAAGCAAGAGAAGACTCAGAAGAGTCGGTCCAAGTTAGCTACATATTATTGGCTTAAGCTGATCTGGGAGTTTCAAAGAAAAGGCGCCACTCATCCCAGAACAGGAAGTCTGAAGAAGAGACCAATGTGTTTTCCTGATGTTAGAATGATTATGTTAAATTCTCACCTATTTAAGTGGGAGTGTTCACAGCGCCTCTCTGTAAAAGTTGTTGCTATGTTTAAACTCTCCCCCCTTTTTAAATGACAGGAAATAGCACAGTAATTAAACCCTTCCATTAGCAGCTGAACCAGCCATGTAATGGTCCATATCCAAACAAAGCTAGTGATGAATTATGTAAGATTAACCTTCTGCAGAAATGGGCTATAGGTCTCAGTGCTTGTATTTTCCAGAACAGAATATGTCTGCTTGCAATTTAGCCTCTAAGTTGGTTGAACTTTGCAAACCTGAACCTTTGGCCAACTCATGACTAGCAACTTACATCTTAGAATTTATGGCATAATGCTTGAATGTCATTAGAGAAGCATTTGATGGAGAGCTGAACTCTTTCTTTCTTTTCTTTCTTTTCTTTTCTTTTTTGCATCCAGTAGAGGGCAATATTGGCTTTTTTCCCCATTCATTAACAGTTTGACAGACTTAAAGTATACATAGCATCAGTGGTGGGATTCAGCCAGTTTGCATCACTTTGGCAGAACCGGTAGCTAATTTTTTGTTGCTCAGGCCCAGAAGCAGCATCCACACAGAGAACTGGTTGTTCACATATTTGAATCCCACCACTGCATAGCATTTGAAGCAAAACATAACACATAAGAAATCGTTGGAAGTTGCTTTCGAACCCATGTCCCAGCACCCTAAAGCCATTGAGTCTTGTGGATTAGGGCAGCATAGAAATATTGTAACAAATAAAATTATCCCAAAGGTGCTTTTTCCAAAAAGCACTTTCTTGATTTTTTCTTTCAAAACATTTCACTTCTCATCCAAGAAGCTTCTTCAGTTCTAACTGACTAGTAGGGAACTGAAGAACTGAAGAAGTTTCTTGGATGAAAAGTGAAATGTTTTCAAACAAAAAACAAAAACAAAGTCCAGCTCCCTTTTGGAAAAAAAGCACCTTTGGGATAACCATGACCTAGATTGAGAATCTCCAAATAAACAAACAAAACTATTTGTTTAAAATAAACAAAAATTGAAGTTAAATAAAATTAATTTCAAACCAGTTATATGTGAAAAAACAGTAATGCTTCATGTCTTTTTTAAATAATGCAAATGGGTTTTCTTAAAATATGTTTATTCTTTACTAGAACCAATTCCAGAGTTATTCTGTGGCTTAAAATATTTCTGTTTTGTGTTAATGTGACTTCAGGGCCTGCAGCTATTAATCCTCAGGACCATCACAGGTAATGTATTATTTCTTTTGTTGTTGTTGTTGTTCTATTACCTTAAAGTTCAGTTATTTCACGTATGAAAAGAATAAATATTTACTAAAAGCAAAGAGCAAAGGAATTTTTCTGGAATATTTGTGAGGGGTGATCCCAACACAAATTCCTTATCTAATCTACCTGACCTTCAACATATTCCAGTAATAATTATTATAAAACTGTTTTGAAAAAAAAACAATATTCAAAGACAAAACTTTAAGCCTGATGTTGGAGGCTCCAGGTGCTACTGAAGTGCAACTCCTAATACAGCTCCAGACTGTATGGCAGTGATGGTGAACCTTTTAGAGACCGAGTGCTCAAAAACTGCCCCACCCCTGCTCCGCTCTCCCCGCTCCGCCCCCCGCTCCGTCCCTGCCTTCCCCACCCGCAGGGCCACCCACTGCCTCCATGGCCCTCCGCAGCAGATTGCCCAGGCAGCCCTGCAGCACCATGGCGGCCACGCCCTCTGCCCACACCCCACAGCATGATTTGCATGCGACAGGGCACGAGGGCGGAGTCTTGTCCCTGCTGCCCGGCTGCCATGTCCTTGGCTGCGCTGCTCTATGCGGGCCATGCCCAGGGGCAACTCCCTCTGGAGGGGCTGGTGAGGAGGGGGCACGAGGGGAGGCAGGAATGGGGCGACGGCGTGTGTGCCCACAGAGAGGGCTCCGAGTGCCGCCTCTGGCACGCGTGCCATAGGTTTGCTAACAGTCCTGTATGGCAATAATGGGAGCTACCGATTGCAGATGAGGAAGGGCTGGAAGCTTAATCCTAGCATGCTGTATTGTGCATGATTGATTTCTACCCCAACTGCAAACAGACTTTTCATTCTTCTTTACCTATGCAGACCCTGTTTATCTGGCCAGATCTGCCCTTACAGTCAGGGAAAGGTGTTGCCAATGGATAAGAAGAGTTGGTGTGGCTGATAAATTTCAAAGAGATAAGGCTATAGAAATTACTCCAGGGTTTATAAGCTTGAAACTGAAATTGTTCTAGTCTCATTACCCAGCCTACTGAGACATAAAACTAACAAGAGAGCATTAGATAAGTTGATCTTCTCTAACCTGATGCCCTTCAGAGCTTTGGAACCAAGAATTCCTCTTCTGCTGGACTAGTTGGGATTTCGGGAATTATAGTTGTAATTAAGTTGAATTTGAATGGTTGAATATCTAATTAATCATTGTTCTGTGAACAAATAATCCCCTGTTTGTCTTTCTTTGAATAAGGACCATGATTACAGGATTAGGAACAAAATGAAGTTCTACTAGGCTCAGAATTTAAAAGTTCTTTTATTATTGCTATCAAACAGAATAAAATACACTATACAAAATACAAAATACATTAACTACTTATGAAATTGATTCTGAAGTTGTCCCAGGCATTCTTCCAAGATCAAAGATAACATTGAAAATTACAGGCTCTTTCTACATAGCAGCTTTCTTTCTTTGTGACATCCAGGCCCCACTTTAACAAGTTCTAACTTTACTCAAATTATTACCCACCCAAGATTTTCTCCAAATGGATCAGGACTAAAATGGAACTGAAGCTGCTGTTAAAAATCTGTTGCACAATCCCTTGATGAAAATCATTTTTAAAAAAGCAGAGAAAAGAAATGGGTCCCAAATGGATGCCACAATAAAAGTGTTGTGCCCATAGCGAATGTCTTCTTGGCCAGCATATCTCCATTTTTTAAAATGAGTCCCACTTAAGTGTTCAACTTTCACTAGATCATATCTATACTCATTAAAAGGCAAATAAACTGCAAGACAATTAAGGCAATGTTTTCGAATATGTATATGCAGAACAAGAAACCAGATGTTTTATTTTGTCTTTCTTTCAGGTGTTGATATAATACAGTGATGGGGAGAAAAGTGTTATCTAAAAATAGACAACCACAAAAAAAAACTGACAAAGGTCATTAATACCAACCAGCTTTGTCTCTCTTTTCATCAATGATAGGAGATGTTTCGAGTTCCGAAGATCCCTTTCAACTTTGTGATTCTGTTCTGTTCTGAATCGGTGGCTGGATGTGGTATTTATTGGTGACCTTGGCTCAGTCACTTTCTCTCAGCCCTTCTGAAAAAAACCTTTCCAAGAAAACTCAAGTGGCGTGTCCAGACAATCTCCAAGAATTGGACCCAATTGAATGGAAGAAACAAAACTCCAAACAATATGAGTGTTGGACAGTACTCTACTGTTCTAGAAGGGGTGCACTCTTCCCAGAATTGTGAGTACCCATTGATCCATCATTGCACATAGAGACACAAGTGGCCTCATTATTTAGAGATGCTTTTACTCAGCTTCAGTTGATAAACCTCTTTGTGCAGGCAGATAGCTGAGCTAATGTTATGTACAAGCTGGTAACTCCTTTTTGGATCTTTGCCGATTCTTACATTACAGGAGCTGCCTTTGATAGCTGGCATTAGACAAGCAAACAAACAAGTAACATCCTTTCAAAACTGAGATTTTATTTTATTTTTTGGCCTAGTGGCAAGTATTATAATACGACTTTTTTTCTGCAACAGTAGCCAGACATTTTCTGGCCTTGTGATCAGAAGCCCGTGGTGGAGCCACTGGCAATAAGATAATGGTTTCAGCATTTGCATCAGTAAGCACATTTCACCATCACTTTGAACTATTCTACCGTTCATTCAGCCTAGGAAATTGTTGCAGCTGTTTCAGCCAGACGCTGAATTTATTTGCAAAACTTTTTATAATACATCAAAAGGCACCTATGGTCTCTTATATTCAGTGCATCTCCCTTTTTTTCTTTCTGGTAAAAGTCTTCGTGAAAGCAGGTTTCTCCCATCTCCAATTTTCCTCTATAAACACGATCTCTCTTTTTTTTTTTTAAAAAAAAAAAATTATTTTAAGCTGCAGATTAAGTGCTTTGAAGAACTTGTTATATGACAAGTTTCAGCCTCAGGTCAATTTAGCACAAAGCTTTCAGCCTCCCAAAGGACAAAAAGAACAGAATATTCTCAGTGAAAATGGGAATTAAATTTCATCACCCAGTCTACTGAGTCATAGTGCTAATAAGACATAGATAAGGTAGTCTTCCTTAACCTGGTGCCCTGCAGAGCTTTTGGACTTCAATTTTAGCTGCCGTTTTTAGTTAGGGATATTATCAGTGGGTTGCAAGTAACTACATAACCCCTAAATAGGAACAAAGGGGCCACAGTTTTCCATGCCTACATGCAGGCTATCTAGCTTTAGTGCAGAGGTGTCAAACTGCGGGCTAGATGTATCATCGGGAAACCACGTCCACCCCATTGCCAGTAATGACAAAAAAGCTCTGATACGTTGCATGACGTCACGTGATGTTGCGAATTTGACCTGTCTGCTTTAGTGCTTTCCCACTATTAGCTGACCTACTCACAGAGGGCTCACTCTCAGCTAATTCACAGCCGGGCAGATACACTGCTTACAACTGAGCAGAAGAAACCAGGGGCTGGGTGGAAGGTATATTAGTCTACAGCCAACTGAGATACATAGCTTTTAATAAAGCAATCGTAACCTCAGAACCCGCCTGATTGGGTAGTGGAGTACAGAGACAACCTTGAGTAAAACAGGTGGCAACCATTGCAGAAACATCCGCTCTGAAAAAGAGACAGGAGTGAGAAAGAAAGTGAAAGTTAGCCCACCTTCATTCTTTTGGCATTGTGGTGAAAGTCTTGGCTTAGAAACCAGGAGGTGATGCATTCTAGTCTTGTCTTAAGCATGGAAGCCACTCACTCTGTCTCAGCCTAACCCACCTCACCGGGTTGCTGTGGGGTAAATAGGAGGAAGATATTGTCCCTCTTGAGGTACCTATAAAGTAGTAAATACGGGATTTAAAAAAATCTAAATAGTAAATAAAATAAATGAAAAGGAAATTGTCAGGTTTCAAGATTCTGTTATTAACATTATCCCTCTAGAAATTAGACTGGCCCCCACTCTGACACTCTTTCGTAAGGCCGTGAAGCCGTGGTTTTGCCAGCCGGCCTGGGGAATCCAGAGTAGGATGGAGCCCATTAAATGGAGTGCATGTTGTCGCCAAGAGAGACCGTAGGGGGTTATTATTTTATTATTATTTACTTTTTTATTATTTTTATTTTTTCTACATTATGTTTTTATTCTCTGTAAGCTGCCTAGAGTTGCTATGAGCAAGTAGGAAGCTATATAAATTATCTAAAAAATAAAATAAAATAATAAAATAAAATAAAATAAATATACTCTTTAACAGTAGAGTTATAGTGTTGTCAATCTCCTGATCTGGTCTCTGTCAAAGAGCTAAGCGACACAAATTGTGAGCAGCCATCATTCTACCCTCTTGTCTTCCCCTTTTCATCAGCTACCTCCGAGGGAAGTTGAGTTTTGTGACCAGATCTTTGGACTCAGTTGAGCCTGGGGACTTATGGGGCAGCATGGCTGAGGGGAGCTGATGAATGTGGCCAAAATAGACGGTCATGAAGGAATTGGCTCCTCGGCGGTCGTCTCCCAATTAAGGAGAAAACAAGGCTTGCTCATGTTTGGCTCCTTACAGATTCTACTGGCAAAGAGATTGTAAAACAGTTTTTTTAGTGGATTTGAGAAGTCCGGAGATTGGGGAGAATATCCATCTTGCCTAAGCCATGCTCAGCACCTTTCAAAAAGACACTGGGGCTGCCTACTTCCTCTCTTAATTACTTTAGAAAACTGCTTATTACTGATTTCTTTAGTTAAGAAAGACAAGCTGTGTTGTATTACAGTGGGAGATTTTCTTTCTACCCTAGATGAAAGAAATGCTAAAGAAGTTTAAAGATTAAACAAGAGAAGCTTTAATTTTTGGAAAACAGAAAAAGTGGGACTAGCGTATTGATTTTGGAAAGTTAAGGGGCTAGATGGATTTGAAAGAATATTTCCTGTGGGGTGTTTTTAAAACTGCATAAAATAGTATATGAAGACTTTGAAACTAATTGTAAAAAAAAAAATCCTCCTGTGGGAAAGTTTTATTGATTGGAAAAGCAACAGATGAAAAGAGGGGATAGGAATAATGACTGCAGAACACCAGAAAGAACAAAGGATTAATTACTCTTTAAAAAGAGCAGTTCCACTGTTGGGCTAGACTAGAGCATGGAGTGCCAATGTTTGACTATAGAAAAAAATAAAAGCTTTTTTGGAACAGTCTAGTTAGAAGTTACTTACCAGATTGTTTGTTATTATAGCAGAGGATATTTAAAGAACAACAGATTTTACAGGACAAAACAGAGTCTGAGGCTGATTTTAATGTGGATTTGGAGTTTTAAAAAATGCTGGGTTAAAAAAATGATATGGGAAAAAATGTGATGGATCTGAAAATGGATTTTAAAATGCCAAAATATACTGTAAGTGATAGGAGAAACAATACCAAAACAGATTTACAAATGAAACCAAATGATGTCTTAATAATTAAAGGGGACATACAAATATTAAATCAGAAGAGTCATTCGGAAAGCCTGCTTACTTTGTATTTGCAAAAGGAATGTGTGGAACCAAGGAAACTCTTTCTGAGAAGAGGCAAAGAGGAATTGCTCAAGTTGTTTATGGAAGGAGACCAAGAAGATGATAAGAAATCAGCTTGTGGGTCATTACACGACAGAACCAAAGATGAAGCTTTTTAAAAGATTTATAAACTGAATCTGTTGAATAAATATTAAAATCTGTTTCTGGTAGTTGTTAATGAGATTTCTTTTTGACTAGGATTGTATGATGAGACCATAAACATTTGTTTATAAGTGAAGAGAGATTTCTTCTACTCTATTTCTTAGACAAATTGATAAGTTTAGATTATAAAATTAATTGTTTATTAATATTAAATTTTATATATTAATATCTCTAGTAACTCTTAATAGACTTTTGCTAGTTAGAATGGAAGGCTATGGTTTGTAAATTAATTATTGATAAGGGATGAGATAGGAGAAGAAGAGGGGTTTTTTTTAATTGAAGCACTAGGAAAGGGATCCCTGTGGATTTTGCTCCCCTAGTTGTAGCCAACTCTAGGGGCAGTGCTCATCTCCGTTTCAAGGGCCATCAAGCCAGCCCTTGTTTCCATGGTTATGTGGCCACCATGATGTCACAGAGTGCTGAAGTACTAGAGAAGGTATTAAATTATCCAAATTGTTTATACTTGTCTAGAGGGAAAGGAGAATCATCTTTTACTGTATACTTTCTCTCTTTCTGTTCTGTTCTATTCTGTTCTTTTTTATTTTTTCTTTACTTTTTATATTTTTCTTAGTTTTTCTTGGTTTTTTTATCTTTGTAAACTTTAATAAAATTATTATTAAAAAAGAATTAGCTGAGGTGGGGAGGAAAAGATGGGAAATATGTATTTTGAAGGGCTCTGATAGAGTCTTCTTGTTGAAAAGACCTCAAAAAGGGCTTCTTAATAAAACATTTCAAGAAATCTATTGATTTCTTTTCCCCCACTGGAGTGATTTTCTGTCTCAACCAAGGTTTATGCCTCTCAGAGGAAAGTATGTTTTTAATACAATTCTTGACAGTGTTGTGGAACTGTATCGCTGTTCCACATTACAGTGAAAATTAACTTATGTCACAAAACAGTAGGATACATTAAAAAAAATAGGTTAGAAATATAGTATGTGTTCCTAATAACTTAACCTAGCTGGTTTCTATGAGATTGCCTTTGCTACTACATTTCTGGAAGACATCAAAGGCAATATCCAGCAGTATCCTAATTTGGAAGTTACCATTGCATAGATAACTCTGGTGAAATCACTTCTGTTATAAAACCTCAAGATATCTTTCTTCACATGGTAAAAGTTTTATCAATCAATAATATAAAGCATGCTGAGTTTTGAATGCTACTAGATTCTTGTTTCAGTTCCAATTCTTGATTTGCCAGATTTCTTCTGCCAGGCAAATACCTCTAGTTTCTATATTCTGAACTAAATCAAAAGCATTTGGTATCGAAGGGGGGGGAGGGGGAAACTGGTAGATGAAAGCAATGTCACATCCCATGACACACATTCTGCCTTTTTTATAGGAGTGTCGCGATTTTGCATGCTGTACGAAAGGGGTGGAGCCTGCAGCGCAACAATACAATGCTGTTCTTGCCATTTTGACCAAGTGCTGGGTCTTCTGGAGACCTACTTCAAGCTCTTACTGTTATTTTCTAGGTTCTGCCTGAGCCCAACACAACCCTGACTTGTTAAATGGTCAGTTATAATTCTAAAGTGCTTCCTATCGATGCTTAGAAACTATAACAGAGGAAAGTAAATGTTGTCGGAGTATATTGCACTATAAGGGATCTTCATGTAACCTATTAGGATGGCAACTCTAAGAGAAGCACTGCTGAACAGGAGATGAACATGACTGACAAAGAAGACTATGTCATCAAGCATCCTTCAAATGCGTTCTTCCAAGAATATCCAGTACAGGTAGTCCTTACAATTACAATTGAATCCCAAAATTATGTTGCTAAGTGAAAAATTGCTTGGGAAATTCTGAAAAAAGAGGTAATAAAAGCCCAAACAAAAGCAATACCATAGAAGAAGAAAAACAAGAGACAACAGATGAGACCAGCAAGGTTAAATGAGTTAAATGAATTTTACCCCATTTTATGACGTTTTTTGCCACATTTGTTAAATGAATCGCTACAGTTGTTAAGTTTGTAACATGATTGCTAAGTGAATCTGGCTTCCCCATTGACTTTGCTTGTCAGAAGTTCACAAAAAGAGATCACATGATCCCGGGACACTGCAACGGTCATAAATATGAACCAGTTGCCAAGCATCCAAATGTAAATCATGTGACTGTGGGGAATGCTGCAATGGTCGTGTAAAAAATGGTTATAAGTCAATTTTTTCAGTGCCATTGTAACTTTGAATGGTCCCTAAATGAACTGATGGAAGTCGAGGACTATCTGCACCATCTTCACAGACAAATATATCTGAGTGAATATTCTGTTTGGATATATTCACACATTATGCTTTTCTCTCTCCCTTCCCCTTAGGTCAATTATATGGCAAATCCATCATTCATATTAAAGCTGATGTTTTGATTGTGAGTTAATTGTGAGTTCAAAAATGTATAGGCAACCAGTCCTAATTAAGGTGATGTAAGAAAATGGGTTATGATTGCACATGTTCCAGACATTACAATCAGATAAATTATTGTTAACTAAAATTCATCATGCTACCTCTCAGCTTTGCTAAAAATATTCTCTTTATTACTTCTATTATGAACACAGTTTTAAATTACTGTCTGATGAGAAGGAAACTAAGAGATAAAGAGACAGCTTAGCAAGAAGTTCCTACCAAGCATGCATTATCAATATCTGCAAAGACTTGTCATAATCTTGTTTTCACCACCCGCCCAACTACCCATCTCTTAATACTCCAAACTAAACAGTGGCATGTCTTCAACTAAATGCTGATATGGATATCTATCAAATGACACCAAAAAATCATGCAGAAAAGTGGTTTCAGTTCATGCTGGATGGGTGAATGAATCACCTTGCCCAGACCCCTTCCCACCATGCCTTGAGAGAACTCTTCAGTTCTGCAAATGAGTCTTCTTCCCACACACCACAAGCAACAGACAATTCATGAACTTGACTGGCAGCACCCAGAAATTTGAAATCCTGTGTCAGCCGGTTGTCTAGTTGCTCAGATGGAGGCATTTGCCTGAGGCCAAGAGTTTAGCTTGATTGATTTCATAAAGCTGGTGCCATTTCAGCAGATTGCTTTTTGATCGCTTCCTAAAGCACTTGCTGAGTCTTGCTGGTAACCCACGCACAACCTTTTTCATCTCAGATTACAGCAAGCACATTGCCTACACGAACCATTCAAAACCATGATCTACAATCAAGAAGGAATTACAGTGTCCTCAATGTGAAACCTCATCTACCATTGTCAGACGGAAGCAGACAGTCAAGGAGCATGTTGTGAACTAAAAGCCGCTGTGGTTCAACTTCAAAGTAGGGAAGGGAAGACGTGATGCTCAAAGGTTGCTAAGTTAAAACTTTCTAAACAGCAGCCACAGATCTGACCAGGAACCTTTAAAATGCTCAAAGACTTGAGGGGGAAAAGTGGAACTTCGATGTTATATATGTTGATGGCAACAAGATTGATTTATGCACAAAAATGGAAGGACACTTTGATCCCCACAATGGACGAACTTGGCTGCAAAAGTTGATGGAGTTAGCAGGGATGGCTAAATTGACTGCTTTGATTAAAGACAAAAAAACAATTACTTTTGTTTCTGTTTGGAAACTGCTTTTGGACTTTGTGCTTGAGGTGGAAAAAAAATGAAACTTTGATTTTGGATTTTCTGATTAGATAGGTTTGTTGTTATAGAAATGGCTAGTTTATATTATGTAAAAGTAAAAAGTTCAGGTTTGATCAGTGGTGGGATTCAGCCGGTTTGCACCACTTCGGCAGAACCGGGAGCTAATTTTTTGTTGCCCAGGCCCAGAATGGACTTCCGGAAGCGGCATCCACACACGGAGAACCGGTTGTCCACATATTTGAATCCCACCACTGGGTTTGATGCTATCATCTTATTCTACTGCACCAAAGGGAGTTGAAGTCGACATCTTTTCTTCCCTTTTTCCCTTTTCCCTACACTTTTCCCTTCTCCCTCCCCTCTTTTCCTACTATTTTCTTTTAAATTTTTGTATTTTATATCATAAGCTAATAAAAAAATAAAATGCTCTAGCGCAGGTCTTCTTGCATTTTTAGCAATCTCCATGCATCTGACTCTTAGTGACATCCACCAACAGAAATTCTGAGTTTCTCTTTGCACTGCTCCCCATCCCCACTTTGTTTCTATCCTAGAAGGATCCTCTTTTTTTCTTAGCATGCAGCCTCTCTGCTTGTCTCTCATTGCTTTCAGGACCATCGTACTTCAAAAGACGACAAAGGGCTTCAGAATCATATGATTCAGGTGTCTACTTTCAATATGGGCATTGATGGGATGATCAAAGCGGTACTAAACTGAAGCATGCTTCAAAGTACTGTACATCTCCACTAAACAGGTTTTAACTTTAGCTCATAAGGTGCCTCTACATTTATCTGATCTCTACATTCTTCTCCCTACTCCTCCCCCCAAAAATCTTAAATAGAGAGAAAATATTCTGTTAAATGGGAAGACATTAATCCTGCCCCATTGAATCAACAAGTGTGGAATGGCCAGAGTAGTATAATTATTCCATTCCAGTTGTTCTCCAGTGCAATCCAGTTATTCTAAGAGAGTAAATCAAAAGGATAAGTCATGTTTTATCTGCTAAGGGAGGCAATACATAGATTTTACACAGAAGACAGAAGTCTGAAGAAAGACAGTTGGCATAATAATGGAAATCTCAGCTGGTGGACAGTTGCCTGGCTACTTACAGACTTATAGCCATTATATTTTCTACAATAAGTAGAATCACATTGAATATCTTACCCTTCTCTTATTGCAGAAAAGACTGGATAATCCAACCTTTTAGCAATATCCCAATAAACAATAATATAAACCAGGGGTGTCAAATTGCCGGCCCACGGTCTGGATGCATCATAGCGAAACCGTGCCCACCCCATTGCCGGCAATAGCAAAAAAGTCATGATACATCACGAGACATCACGTGACATTGCAAGTTTGCACCCTTGATATAAAGGGATCATGGAAATATTTTCAGAAACCTAAGGAATCCCTAATGGAGGAGTCCACAAAGTATCTGTGAGCATGGTTAGTGACAGGCATGTATTTTAATTATTATAACACAGCTCCACTCAGCTGGCATTTCACTTTAAATAATGCAATAAGCTCAAAAGTTTCAGATTGGTAGGATATCTGTGCTACATCTGCCTTTCCAAGCTTTGGACAGATGCCAGGTTTATGAACTGCTCCTTGGGGAAATACATATGTCAATTAATCTCAGGGATTTTAACACTGGCTATCTTATAACCATCAAATTTATCCAGGCTGGGATGCGTATGTGTGTGTGGGTGTCCATTAACAATAACAAAAATAAGAAATATAGAGGGTAGCTTCTGTAACAAGTTTACAGGGACAGGCTGAGAGAACATATGGATCCTTTAAAAGAAATATAATTGACACAATAAACTGAATCCTGCCTTCATAAGTTTTCCATAATGTATCAATCCTTGTATTCCTTTCTTCCACAGGCAAAATTCATGATTAATCTCTCTGTATGGTTCCATTATGTTGAAGGTTGAAGTCTTCTGGATCGTTATGTGAGCATTCCCAAAAGTAGAAATCCATCCTGAACAATGATGAGTTGTTCAGATGATCCCTTACAGCAGAAAGGAAATTTATTTACAGCAAATACTTGAGATAGGCAAAGCTTAGTATCTAACTCACCACATCTCTAATAGGAGGAGTAGAAATCTCCTAGGTAAGGTTCAAGCAAAGCAGTAGATGAAAAATGGCCACAGAGTCAATCCATAACTCACTCAATCTACACCCTTCTTCCCATGAAGGTCAAGAAATCATAAGACACGGAAGAGTCAATGCCATTGGATCTATACCTCTAACATTATTGAGGAAGATTACAAAAACCATAGATAAAATTCTATTCTACTGGGCTTCTGAAAAGCCTAAAAAGATAATGAATTACATTGTATGTAGTGGGGGTTACCAAGGGTTACGTGTGACCTGGCAGAATCCCAGCCCACACAGCCTTTCCACCTCCAAATGTATAAGGCCAAACATTTTGGTCCTTTCTCACTTTGGGAACCTAGGGAGAGTTTAAGGAGCAAAATGGGTGCTGTGCGGATTGTTTAAGAGGTTCATTTCACTCCTTAAAATTCCCAGATCTCTCAAACTTCTGAAAGCTGTAATGTTCAGCCAGTCCCAAATTGCTATGTAGCCCTTGGTGCAGTCCACCATCATGTACTTCTCCATTAGAAAATTGTACAAGGCAGACTTCCGATTTGCCATTGCAGCTGCTACGGCCACTGGAAGGCAAGCTCCGTCTTCTGCATTCAGTTTCGCACCGCTGGGGGACCCTGGAAAGGGTCGAAAGTTGCCCTGTAGGGGCAACAAGCAAGGAGGGGACCCCCGCTTGATCATGGAAAGGCGATAGCCCTTTCGCTCGATCTGGGGCAGCCCTCCAAACTGGCAGACGAAAGACCAGCCATAGAAATATGGCTCATCACTAGGCTGCAGACAGCCAAAGTCAAACTTACCACCAGGCACTTTTAAAGGAGCGTGGATGAGACTGGGTGAGATCTGATCTCTCTTTAATCCTATTTTCTTCTCCTGTAAAAGCTGCCCAAAGTATTCCCCCCCCCCCGTGTGAGGAGAGAGGGAAGGGAATTTCTATCCCACCCTCTAAGAATAGTGGTGACTGACTATCCAGGGAAGTAAAAACACTGAAAGAATAACCTTAATGTAACTGGATTTATATGCTTTTAAAATTTGGGGGCCAAAAGATTTCTTATCTTCACTGAAGACTTTGGTTTTATTTACAAAAAAGAAATAAAATTGGAAAAAAGATTACAAAAATTTGGGACTTAAAAAATCTTAAATGGCAATGGTGACATCCTGTGGCCAAGTTTGATTTTATAACTTGTTATTGTCTACAAGAGACTTGGCTTGAAGCCCAGACTATAGATAAGACTTTTTCAACCTTGACAAATATCAGCTGTGAGAAACCCAGCTGTGTTCTATACTCAGTTATAAAATTATTTTCATTCTCTGACTTTAAAG